GCTGCTCAGAGCTGGCATCCCAAGCCAACTCTTAACCAACATGCCACTCGGCCAGTCCCATAGGTAGCTTTTTAAAGTTGTATTTTCCTTTACGTTTTCTGTAATATGTCATTTTGTAAATTAGCCATTACTTGGCCCCATCTCAGGAGAATATTTTATGATTTCAAATGGAAGAGAAGAATGTGGTAACAAATTGAGAGTTGAGTATCACTTCTGGAGAATTCAGATCTTTTGGCCATGTCTAAAATGAGAGTGATGCCGAGAACATCTCCAAGAGGCTCTTTCCAACTGTAAAATTCTGTAAGACCATTGACCTTGGCACATCTGCACACTCCAGGTGTGTAGCATCCATACGAGTGGGTCTGTTGATGGATCAGTGCGCTTAGTAACCAAAGAAATGTGGCAGACCTATTGAGTTTTACTCAATGTTGCTGCAACTTTTGATTAGAATGTTTATTTCCATTATATGTTAGATCTAGTTTACTAAGTTAAGTTACTACAAACAGGTGCAGTCTACTAAGCTAAAATCAGAATTAAATTTAGAAATAGATAGGCTTTGTTATCCTGAGTGTGAAATGCTTAGAGCATTGGCTGACATGTCTCTGCTCCCACCATCAGGTCGTTCCTTCGCATCACTGCCAAGGGGGGACCGCTGCGCCCCCACCTCCGTGTGTGCCTTTACCGTGGTAGGGTGCAAACAGGAAGGGCACATGGCGAAGCAGTGGCGCCTGAGAGGTTGTTGCCTTCCTAATGGGACTTGCCTGTGAAAGTAACGGCCGGGACTGGGGACAGAATTCCCTCAGCCCCAGGCTCCTACTTCTCTTGGACACTCTGCTCAGCCCGAACTTCCTACCTCCTGGGCCGTGGGGGTGGGTGGGGAGAAGGGCTGCGCAGTGGGCGGTCACCTGGAATGCGTTCCGGAGACCAAGTGGGACCTGAGCACTCTGCCACTTCTGCTGTCCAGCTGGTTTTAACTGGGGCAAACTGGACCAGGCTGCTTGACCTCTGTGCGCCTTCATTTTCTCTTTTTTTTTTTACTGAAGGTCCCACCTACCACAGCTTTTTTTTTTTTCTTTATAACTAAATGGAAGGATATAAACAAAAGCATTTGAAGTACCACATCAGTGTGAGTGTCCTTTTTAAAATTAACTTAATTTAGGGCCGGCCGAGTGGCTCAGTTGGTTAAGAGCTCGTTCAAGAGTTTGAGCTCTGGGCAACAGCGGTTTGAGTCCAGCACGAGCTGAGCAGCCGCTGAGCTGCCAACAGGTAGCAGGATGGCTCAGCTAAAAAAAAAAAATTAACTTAATTTAAAATACCAGTTATCCAGGCCACCAAAAAGCCTTTCTCATTCTCAGACTTGTGTAGCCAGAAGTAGGCGGCTGGGACTTGAGAATGGATTTTCACATGTTGATTCCCAGTGCAGTGGGACTTCTTGAATAATTTCTCAGTGTGTCTAATGATCATGCCCTAGTTCTCCACTAGGTAATTATGGGGAAATTAAGTAAATGTCTTCAATTTGATGTTTTCAGTTGAGAGGTGAGAGGAAACACTTTACATATATAACGCAACAGTGTTCTAGGCCTGGTTTGGGAGTTGGAAACCTATTTTAATAGTTCTTTTTTTAATCATTTAGACTAAAAGAACTATGGAGTTGGTATTTTGTATGAATTGTAAAAATGGTTTTCATCTCAACAATCTGAAAACATACTAATTGTATAGTAGATCTGTCATTGAATCAATTTATTGCTTATATTTATATATTAAGTAAAATCAATAACAAAATAAACTTTTATTTTTAAGGCATTTAAAAAAATTTTTTTAATTTTCAGTTACAGTTAACATACACTATTACATTAGTTTCAGGTAAACAGCATGGTGGTTAGAAATTTATATAACTTACAAAGTGATCTCCCCAATGAATCTAGTACCCCCTTGACACCATTCATAGTTATTATTACAGTATTAGTGACTGTATTCTCTATGCTGTACTTTACATCCCATGAGTATTTTGTACCTGCCAATTTGTATTTCTTAATCCCTTCACCTTTTCACCCAGCCCCCTAACTCCCCTTCCCATCTGGCAACCATCAGTTTGTTCTCTGTATCTATGAGTCTATTTCTGTTTTGTTTGTTCATTAGTTTTTAAAATTCCACATATAGGTGAAATCATATGGTATTTATCTTTCTCTGTGTGACTTATTTCATCTGGCATAATACTCTCTAGGTCATTTGTTGTCGCAAACGGTAAAATTTTCATTCTTTTTTATGGCTGGGTAATATTCCATTGTGTATATGTACTACTTCTTTATCCAGTCGTCTATCGATGGACACGTGGGTCTTGTTTTCTTATCCATTCAGCCACCCTATGTCTTTTGATTGGAGCATTTAATCCATTTATATTTAAAGTAACTATTGATAGGTATGTAGTTATTGCCATTGTATTATTCATATTTTTTATCTTACTCGCCTTTGTCGTCGTCGTCGTCGTCGTCGTCTTCTTGAAGAAGTCCCTTTAACATTTCTTGTAATACTGGTTTGGTGGTGATGAACTCCTTTAGCTTTTTGTGGGAGCAAAATAATCTTTCAGTAACTTTTTCTTATCTTTCAGTGAGGATGAACTAGAAGAAGCAAATGGAAATAATCCCATTGACATTGAGATTGATCAAAATAAGGAGAGCAAAAAGGAGGTATTTTTTCCCCTTTAGGCAAATAAATTGTATTACGAGTTCCATAAGTAGAACATTCTTACTTTTTCTACTTAGTGTACAAGGCATCATGGTATGACATTTTAAACAATGCTAACTCCGCTTTCTAGAACTTAGAAATTTGTTTGCTAGGAAACATGAGTGAAGGAAGTCTTAAAAGACAAAGTAGTAGCGATGAGTGACGATTCTGTGGAGGGCAGCAGGCCTCACTGCCTTCTTTCCTGAGCCGCTAGCTCAGTCCCTTAGAAAGGGGTTCTGCTGAGGCCCAGGCTGGAGTGTGGCTCCTCTTTTCAGCCGCGTGTCTCCTTCCAAGCTGTCGCTGGCCCACAGCTCTGCACACTCTTGCTCAGGAAGTGACTGTAGGGGGCTGACAGGGACTCAGTGCAACTCTTCTGGTTACTCAGCCACCAGTACGTCATAACGAGGGTGAGCCTCACTCATGGTGAAGCTTTAATTAGTCACATCTTTAAAATCATTATGTCAGAGGTTTTTAGTCTCTGGATTCAGGGGGCCCACAAATCCCTACAATTATGGATGACTGTTTTTGGTGTATTTATAATATTTGTTTATTGTAAACTGTCCACTGAGAACAGTGGGGTGTCGGGAATAGGGCTTGCAATCTTGCATGATTTTGTCCATTCATAACATTGAATAAAGCATATATTGGACCCCCAAGGTCTCTCCCAGGAAACCCAGGGCTCCTTGGCACAGGTCGGAAACCCCCACAATTCACCACTGTCTGCCACAGGCCCTGGTGGAGTACCTGGAGGCCAGAGGGACAGGATACCTGGCAAACGGGGCTTCTTAGCACATTGGAGCCCTTCAGCCCCTCAGTCAGGCTGGAACATTGAATCCCATTGTGGGTATGACTACTGTGGTCATAGAAGAGTTTTTCTGAAGACAGAGTCTAAAGTGTCAGGAAAATCGCAAAGGGTTCTCATCTCAAAAGATTCTAAATTATGAGACAGCTATTTTAGGTATGGAAAACAAGGGTCTAGACATAACCTAAACTTTAAAATTACATCAATGACATATGCTTTTTATAGACAAAGTATGAAATACAGCGAAACAGAAAGAAGAAAATGAAAATGATTTACAATATTGTCACACATAATCACCACTAACATTTTGGTGACTTTTTGCAAGTGACTTCTTCTGTAAAATGTATATGCCTATATACATAATTCTGGCTTTTATTTTAAAAAATAAAAAATGGAAACTTATATAATTTTTACAACCTTTCAAATTTACTCTACCTTGAACATATTTTTATGTCAAATACATTTATATGCACAGCTGTATGTTATTCCATCATACAGATCTTTCCTAATTGAGTAAGATAATCTACGGGCTTTTACAGTTTTTGCTCCTGCTTTTTTGCTATTATAAACAATGCTGATCTCATATTTAAATATTTGTACACTTTTTCCATTAGAATTAATTTCTGGGAGTTGGATTATTGGGTCACAGTGTTCCAGATAACATTTTGAAGGCTTCTCTTGGTAAGGTACATAGCACCAAATTGGAAACTGGCAATCCCTTCTGGGTGGCACTTTGGCCAGTGATTTATATGAGTGCCCATGTAACAAGATCATTTTCAGGGTTAGCTAAATTTTGTTTGGGAAACCACATGGTATTTGGAATTTTTTGTAAGCTTTGTTTTGATGCATTGTTTACTAGGTTCTTCAATGAGACATTTTAAATGGAAGAGAAAGGGGTTGGTTTATTAATTTCTGTAATTTTTATATGTATAGCTCAATTTCTTGTTCAAAAAGAAAACTGGTTAAATCGTAGTTCTTTACGTACTAAAATGTTATTAAAATACACACATTGTCAATAGGTGAGCTTACTAAACAGCATAGTGCAATTACAGAACAGTTTATTGCCTACTAATATTTTTATGTATTTTGTTTATTACTGCTGTTCAGGAGCTCATGGCTGCCCTCATAAGTATGCATGGTCTTTTTATCTCAGTCTTTTAACGTATGAAGCAAAAAGCCTGAACATATTTTCAGCTCTATCAGCAAATGTTAACACACTTAACAAGATGAGATTATGACCAATTACAAAACCTTCTTGTTCTTAAAATGGTTACCAATAAGACATTATCCTTTCCTTGCCAAGATTTTACAGCATTTCATGTCTGAAAGCTTTGGTTTTAGAGACAGCACTTTAAAAAATTAGTAGCAGTCATGCATTTAAAATGACAGCATATATTTTTTTGCAGCAAATTTTTAGGGCACAATTGCCCTAAAAGTTAAGGTGTCATCCCCCCAAAAAAGATGTGTTAAAAAGTTGATATATAAAAAATATGGAAGTTTATATTTTTTAAAATTTCTATAAAGATTTAGAGAATTTAAATTGATCTTTATACATGTGCAGAATCTTATTTTTCTTTTTTCTTTCTTTGTTCATATGTCCATCAGTATTACTAGGGACCGTTAGGATAAAAGAGCTCCTTAGCCATGTACATAAAGATCACGAGAGGAGAGCGCAGAATTTTTTCTTCCTATATTACTACAGGAAGCTGAGAGTGCTGTCACAGGCTTCAAGTGATTGAATATGGATATGTCTGTACAAGAAGGAAGTGGCGTCCACTTTGAAGTGGTTAGCCAAATTCAGTGGCCAGTGTTTCGCCTGTTAAGCTACCTGTTAGAATTGTAGATGGTAATTATGAGATGGCGTGGCATCTGTCTTAGATTGTGTCGAGCCACGTTAAGGAAATATGCTTATCACTGTTCAATTGGCATTGAAATTTTCTTAGCTTCTCATTTCAAATATGTATATCATGCAGGTGCCTCCTACTGAGACAGTTCCTCAGATCAAAAAAGAGAAACATAGTACACAAGCTAAAAACAGAGCAAAAAGGAAACCTCCAAAAGGAATGTTTCTTTCTCAAGAAGACGTGGAGGCTGTTTCTGCCAATGCCACGGCCGCTGCCACGGTGCTGAGACAACTGGACATGGAACTGGTTTCAGTCAAACGACAGGTACCCACGAGCCTAGTCCTGGGTAAAGGGCCATCCAGCACTTTAGAGCTGGTTTTCTTTTTCACACACATGGATGTTCTCTTTCCACAAATCTCAGAAGGGCATTTTGTTTCTAAGGAGCTGGACAGAAGAACGTAGGTACGGGCCCACTGATTTTTCTTAAATTAACTTTGAAATTGATGTTATATATGTATATACAAATGTGTGTGTGTGTGTGTGTGTGTGTGCGTGTGTGTGCGCGTGTGCGCACGCGCGCAGTGATTTTTCACATTGCGCACACCCCCAGCTAACCTCTATCTGGATCAAGAAATGGAATATTGTCCCCAAAGCCCCATTCACGTCCTCTTCTCGTTACTACTCCCCTCAAGAAATGCAGCCTTGCTCCCGCGACTTCACTCGTGCCCGTCTTGTTCATGATCTGCTTCTCCCAGCAGGCGGCCACTATTCTGACTTTAAAACCACAAATTATTTTTTATCCACTTTTGGACTTATATTAAAAATTGATGTGTGGTTTCTTTTATGTCTGGCTTTCATTCATGTGAGAGCCACCCGTGTAGTACAGAGCCACAGTGCTTATTTCTCACCGTGCGTGTGGAAATGTCCTACAGATTGCCCATTTTACTCCCCGTGGACATTTGGGTGGTTTCGCATTTTCGGCCATTACAATCCTGATACGAGCATTATGCTGTGTGACTCCCGGTGCCTGTTGCAAGCCTCTTTGTTGGAGTGTGCCTAAGAGTGGAGTGCTGGGCTACAAAGTGTGCACGTGTCTGGCACTGGGGGGTTTCCACACGGTTGTGTCAGGTCACATGTGTTTGGGTTGTACTATTGTACATCAAGGTTCCCTAACCTGTAGCACTGTTGACATTTTGGGCAGGATACTTCTTTTTTGTGGGGGGCTGTCCTGTGCATTGTAGGGTGTTTGGCAGCATCTTTATCCACTAGATGCCAGTAGTACCCTCCCCCCATCAGCTGTGACAGCAGAAATGCCCCCAAGCATTGCGAAATTATCCTTGGGGGCTGGCGGCAGATTGTTCTGTTTCCCGCTCTGAGTCTTGTCTTTTCACTCTTACTGTTCCCTTTTGATGATCAGAAATTCTGAATTTTAAGGTAGTTCAATTTCTCATTCTTGTCTTTGTGGTTAGTGCTCTTCACATTCTGTGGAGAACTTTCCCTGAGGTTGTGAATACTCTCTCAGGCTGTCTTAAAAGCGCTCTTTTGCCTTTTACATTTTGATCTTCAGTCTACCTGAAAATGTTTTTCTGTGTATGTTGTTAGGAGTAGCGTCAGTAATTGTTTGTTTGTTTGTTTTGTATAGATAGCTAGTTAACCGACTAGTGTTTATCGAAAAGACCACCCTCTCCCTGCCCCAGAGCAGTGGGGTCTTTATTTTAAATCCGGCATCCATATGTGTGTGGGGCAGGTTTCGGATTTCCCACTCTGTTCCTTTGGTCTGTTTGTCCTGTCCATTCTTTAGCAGTACTATGCTGTCTTAATTACACATACATTATAATCGAGGTATCTGGTGGTGTAAGTCCTCCAGGATTGTCTTGGCTATTCATGGCCCTTTGTAGCTCCATATAAAGTTCAGAATCACCTTGTCAATTTCCAGTAAACTAATTCTGCTAGAATTTTGATTGAGATTATATTGAATCTATAGATCAAAATAGAGAATTAACATCTTACCCATGAACATGATATGTCCCCTCTTGTAGGGGTCTTTAATTTCTTTGTTTTGTTGTTTTCTATGTATAGTTCTTATATAGCCTTTGTTAGAGTTATCCCTGGATATTTGGTACCTTTTGGTGCTCTTATAAAAGATATTGTTTTTTAAATTAATCCTTTTATAATTATTTGTATGAGAAATGTCTCGTTATTTTAATCTGAAACTGAAAATTCTGCTGTGCAGCCTCGTGCTGTCCTTCTGTGTGTCTCATCCCCTCCCCCCCACACCCTCTTTCTGTCTCAAATTAAAGGTAAATTGTGGACTCATGGTTTACTTTAGCTTTTGCTTCTTTGACTTGTTAATCTTGATGGTTCCCTTGGGAGGCTGAATTAGATAGGAGGCCAACTGTTGCTTCATAGATGAGAAGAGGGGGGTCAGTGGCCCCTATCTTCTGGTGTAGGGAGATGGCACAGACCAGGACCAACCGTGCCCCATGGAACCAGAGCAGCGGCTCCTTGTCTTGGCTGCTGGCATTGCTGCATTCTAATCTTAGGAGCATCACTTAATCTTCCTGGGCCTCTTTTCAAATGAAGAGATTAATCCTTGCCTGCCTGATCTTCCAGGATATATGAGGGCTGCTGTGTGAGAGCATTTTAAGCTCTGTTTGCGTTGGAAGAGCTCGCTCTGATTAGGGCTGTGAGCTCTCAGATGCATTTTCATCTTCCTTTGCGTTTCCCCCTCTGCTGAGTGAGTTCCTAATGCTTGCTGCTTGACGTTCAAAAAAGAAAGCGAGACCCCTTCTTCCATGGAGGTGTTACTGACTCTCATATGATACATAAAAGATTCCTTGGTTTTCAGAGTCAGGATCAAGAGCACGAATTTTTTATTTGTAGGTAGCTACTCTCAGTTTTCATTGTTGAAGAGCGGGCTTGCTTAGTCTCACTTACTGAGAGGAGACAGGTTGTTTACTTCCCGTAACCTTTTAGGGCCACTGCCAAATGCACTTCCGGGCTCCAAATGACAATCAGTCACATAGTGGACATTTTATTCTGGGGGCCCTGTGTTTGGTGTTTGGTTGTATATCCAGGGAGCCATTTGCCTGAAAATAGCAAAACCTGATAACAGCAGCTTCAACAATTAAGGATTTATTTTTACCAAATAGCAAGAGGTCACAACATCAGTGGTGCTGGCATTAGTCCATCTGTTCAGTGATACTCTCAGAGAGCCACATTCTTTTGGCTTTCTACTTGGCATTCTTAGTGATTGGCCTTCATCTCACTTGTTGCCCCACTGGAAGCTGCCGAAGCCATTCGGTAACCTTCACGTCTGTGTTCAGGGCAGTGAGAAGAGGAGATGTCAGTGGAGCTAACCCATCTGTCCCTTCCAGCAGGAAAAGCCTTTGCCTCCAAGAAACTCTAGACTTCCAGCATGCCAGGCTTTGCCACGCTCCTCCTGGCTCCGCAGAACATGTGGGACGGGGGCTGGGAACGGCTGTCAGATTAGCCAGCGAACAGAGCCTGTTGCATTAGGTCTTTGTGAGCAGAGACTAAAGCGGCCTGACCTTACGGAAGAGTAACTAACCACACAGTAACGTAAAAAACAGAAAGTTGTGTGTTTGACTGGGAGGTCTAGTAAGGCACCCAGCCAACTGACCGCTGCGTTTTTGGTTTTCCTTTACATGCCAATTACATTCATATCCTATTTCTTTTCCAGCTTGTTGCCACTGTGGCTTCCCATCCAACGGGCATTAAGCTGGCAACTCACCCTACTGTGTTAGTGAACATGGGCTATTTCCAACATGGAAAGTGTACCACGAACAGAGATGTAGGGTACTGAGCTCAGAGCTAACTTTTAGTTCAGAATTTGTGGATGTTCTGCCTTACAGCCATTCATTTAATCTGTATGCTTCTTTAGCTTTTGACTTTAGAGAGAAAATGCACGTGCTAAAGTAGGCTGGTCTGCTTGGGCAATGCACATTACTTAGTCACAGTGCACTGTGTGCCCAGGCTTATACCATGTGTACACAGGAACCAGAATGAAGGCAGTGACAGAACTGAAATGCTAGAAGACATGCAGTATTCTAGACCCCTGACTTTTCGCTAATTCCCTGTCGGAAGTTTCTAGACGTAGCTTTTAAGCCTAAGGAGAATTCAGTGACCATCATCGGAGCACCCTGCAGTGTTTTATGGGTTGTTGGTAACTGAGAGCTTTGAGCAAGAGTCTACAATTGTGCTGTTCGATATGGTAGCTGGAAGCCACTTGTGGTTATTTAAGTTTAGATTAATTAAAATTGAAGAAATTTAAAATTCGATTCCTCAGTTGCATAAGCCACATTTCAGTGTTCAGTAACAGTATGCGGCCAGTGGCTGCTATGTGCGGCAGCACAGCGTTCAACATTTCCATATCAGAGAGCTCTGTTAGTGCTCATCTGGGAGCTTGCACTACTTTCCCAGGAACTTGTTGTGAGTAAATTTCTAGTATTTTCTTCTGATTTGTACCTTTTCAAGATAAACTAATCTCAGTAACTCAAGGTGCTTGTTTATGGTTTTACTGTGGAGTAAATTTTGTGCATGTTTCTGATAATTTTTCTTTTCAATTGTCTTTATGTTCTGATGTGGCATTAATACAAAAAGATTAGGAGTGGGCTGTATTTCTGGTAGACTGTGGTCCTTCCTGTTGGCAGGCAGGGTCAATTTCCGGTTCTCCCTTACTTGGCCATCGGTCCCACAGTGTGGAAAACCTGCACATCCCCCTCCCTTTTAAACCTTTTAGAAGGAGTAAAACATAGGAGGAAAGGACATGTGGAACTGGAATTTTGTGAAATGTAAGTACTTAAAAATGGGAATTAAAAAAAAATAAGTATAGAAAGTTTTTTTAAAAAGAGAGGACTATTCAGAAGTGTTCCTTTGCCAGGGTCCTTCACGACCACCACCACCACCACCACCACCACCACACACACACACACACACACACACACACACACACACACACACACACACACACACACACACACACACACACACACACACACCCGCCCCCCACCACCGCCACCCTGCAAGTCCTGCCTTCCTTCATCTGCCTTAATGAGATCTCTGCTTTCAAGGGCATCTGCTGCTCATTAGTGTCTCTGATGTTTTACTGGGAAAATGGACTAATTGCTGCCCTGCTTTCTTATGTGCTCATACGATCATTCAGAAATGAAAAATGCTATGCCAGGGTCAGAGTTCTCACGGGCTTGGCACAGGAAGGCCCACTTCCGTGACCCAGCTCATTCTGGAGTCCGTGCAGAATGAAAGGGCAGCGTGGATTGGTTGGGTGGGTGGTAGTGTTTGTGTCTTTCTTTTGACTAGGCCGGGGTAGTGAGAGATTAAGTACATTGAATCAAAGCAGTAATGTAGAAAAGATAACTTGTGACAAAATGAGGACGTTTCAGTTGATCCAAATGTGGCTTATGAAGAACTGGCATATTGCTTTCTTCTTTGTCCCCATAATAGCCTGCAGGCTTCTGCCATGTAGAGCAGTTCAGGGCCAGGAGACTGCACTGCCGCCCGCTCTGCAACCCAGCTCTGCAGCCCAGGCTTGGCTGCCATCAGCCTGCCTGCTCTGGTGTTCAGGTCAATTCTGTGTGCCGGAAGCCCAGGCACCGCCTCTGTCTTGTGTCAGACTCCAGATATATGTTCTGCTCAGGTGATCGCCCATCAGGAAATGGTGGGTAGCAATTGTGTACGTAGGAGACTTTTTATCACCATCCCCTCCTTCTTGGTTGCTCCTTGTCTGTTGCTCTCAGCAGGTCAATTAAAGAGACCAGTTAGATGCTTTAAAGGATACAGTAGGAACCTCAAAGTTTGGCCACCATGCAGATTAGGAACTTCTCTGCTCTTGGTTTGTTTCCTTTAGTTTATTTCTGTTTTCATACCTTTATAAAAGTTTTTTATTTTTAAAATGAAATCTTCTCTCTCTTAGATTCAGAATATTAAACAGACAAACAGTGCTCTCAAAGAGAAACTTGATGGTGGGATAGAACCATACCGACTTCCAGAGGTAGGATCATGTTAACAGCATCTCAGAAGTCATACTCAAGTTTTCTTTGTGTAAGAATATAATTCCCCTGTAATATACTTCCAGTTACATCTATTAAAAAGAAAGGTGGAGACATAATTTTATAAACCTCTAATGTTAAAATTCTGATAATGAGAAGAAAGATTCATTAACGCACGTAAGGACGTGCCCTCTCTAAATGTGGTGTGCTGATCTGACTCCTTTGGTGTCCAGGTCATCCCGAAATGTAACGCACGCTGGACCACAGAAGAGCAGCTGCTGGCTGTACAAGGTATGGGGAGCTTCTCCTCGGAAAGATCGGGAGCAGTGGCAGCTTCTAGGAGAGACCAGTGCCTCACTGTGCCCCGCACACCGCTCTCATGGGCAGGTTCTTCGGGGGTAACACTCTGTAGAGGACGTCATTTTAGCCACATTGCTGTGTCCCCTCTGGGCTTCACTCCTCTCCTTTCCTGTATCTCTCAGGTCGTAAAAATTAGTGTGCAGGCGTCAGTTTCTAAAGGTGTGAGTAGTTCATTCTAATAGCTACATGTTGGGTTCTGAAAAGTGAGGAAGTACAAAACCCCAAAAGAAGCAGACTGAGTGTTGGGTTTTTAAGGTTGGGAGTGTTCTAGTCCTGGGGACCCTAGAAAGACTAATGTAAACGTCCACAAGTATACAGTAATTGCTGGGTGATTTCAGGTCTCGTGACATGATAGCAAGGTACAGATTTCTGGGTCATACTGAACAACTTTGATCTAGTCATCTGTGGACTGTATCTAGACTTCACTACTTTCTCCACTGGTATAATGTATTAAGATAGTGCCTGCTGTTACAAGCCTGTATATTTTCTTATCTGGAGACGGGTAAGTCTCGATTGTGGTTTGTTTTCTTTTAATGTTTTTCTCTTGTGTTGAAAAAAACCTGCTCTCTTACATCCTTAGCCATCAGGAAATATGGCCGAGACTTTCAGGCAATCTCAGACGTGATTGGCAACAAATCAGTGGTACAAGTGAAAAACTTTTTTGTAAATTATCGACGCCGCTTCAACATAGATGAAGTTTTACAAGAATGGGAGGCAGAACATGGGAAAGAAGAGACCAATGGACCCAGTAACCAGAAAGCTGTGAAGTCCCCGGAGAATCCTGTCAAGATTCCTGAAGAGGAAGACGAGGTAACTCTGAAACACGGGCTCTTCTCTGCCAGATTCATGCTCAGTGGCTCAATTTGTTTCTTCATTGATGACCTTTTTCAGCTGCAGAAATGTTTTTAGGTTTTAGCTGTCAATACTTGACTTTTGCCTGTAAATACCATAATATGTGTGTGGAATTCATTCAGTTTTTGGTCACTGTGTATATTATTCACAGTCGAATTCCTAGACAAATTTCTCGTTCTATCCTGGCTTCCTCCAGCTACAGAATATTCCACATTACTAGTATTTCTTTAACTACAGTAAGAACCCTGCTATAAAACAGGAAGTTGGAAGTACCTTGAGGAGTGTCAGTAGAACTAAGTTTTGTCAAATATGTTGTCATCTTGTTGTGAGGTTACTGACCTTACCAGCGGGTCTACACAGCTCGCCATCAGACGCTCCTGGTCTGACTGCTGCACAGCCCTCCCAGCCTTGGGTGCCGTTTGGGTTAACTGGCTTCCATGTGGTTGGGACAATGCTAGGTCCTGTGGTGGGCTGGGACTTCTGGGATAGTGACTGACATTCAGGTAATCTGCAGGATAGTGGCACTGATTTCACCAGCCAGTCAGCAGAGCCTCGGCAGGAAGATTATTGAGGCTGCAGGGACCCATCTGTTACCTCCCTGCTTCCTGTGACAGGGCTGCCATTTTCCCGACTAGCCTGGTCTGCCCGCCTGTGTATTTACCTCTCAGTCCCACAGAGGAGAGTGGGGCTGGTCAGAGTAAGAGTTCATTGCCAGTCACTTCACATTTGAATTTGTTCAGTGCCAGGGTAACTTAAGGATTAATTTAGCTTTATAAGGAAAATCACATTCTCATTAGTCTTCCAATAACCGTGCAGGAATGATTTGAAATTACCTATTTTCCATTGTCTGCTTTCCTCTAAAGAGTCTGGCTGTAGCAGCAGCCCAGAGGCCCCTCCCTCCTGACCTAAGTGTGGGGGTGCCTTATGAGGAAGATGGCACCCTGAGATCATGATGTTGGTCGTACATGCAGTGCCCCACAGCCCATTTGTCAGACGAGTGTTCAAACATACTAATTTTGTTAGAATCGGATTCCTTAGAGCCTTCCACCAGAAACTTTGAATAAGTGTACAAAGTCTATAATATTTCCAAATGTGAGTGGTTCCCAAGTCACATGTGTATGGACCAGCCTGCGTAACATCTGAGCAAAAAACTAAGGTGGCTTTTATCTTCTGGCAGTGGTTTGGGGTTTTTGTTGTTGTTGTTGTTTTTAATTGTGGGAGGGGAACAGACAAGTTGCCGTCCTTTTGTTTTTCAGTCTAGCTGGCATTGGTATTTGTCCCAGTGCTAATTGCCCCTGTCACAACAAATTAGCTTCCTAAAGTCCTGGACTCGATTTAGGAAGCTCTGAGAAGATGAGGTTACTAGGAAAGGAGCATGAGCATTTGCGAGAAAGAAAGCTGTCTTCCATGTGAAGCTCTCCAGCTTCAGTCCCAGGAAGCGAAAATAATCTGAAACTGTTTCTCTGCCCTCTGCAGATTTAATCAGAACTGGCGCCATCAGGGTTTGCACAAACAAGGTGGTAGTGATTTAACCACCAGGATATCAGTTCTTGTGCACACGTGTACTTTTCTTCCGCCTGGTTCATTTACTGACTTTGATAAGTCAGTTACGTTTTTTTCTTTCTTACTAGTCCGGAAAGTCCATCCCTAATGGCCCACTTCCCGTGTTGATTTTACATCAGAATACCCATGTGATTTCCTCTCCTGTCTCTGATGGAGCTGGCTTGTCAGTAACTCGACCTCCCAGCAAGCAACAAGTCTTCATTTTTGTTTGGGGGCAGGTCTTCCAGGAATCTGCTTACCCAACCTGCTCTCCCAGAAGAATCTTATCATCCAACTTCTTTTTGATGTGTAATCTTTCTATTTCCTTTAAAAATTTTCACCCCTTTGGGGCCGGCCGAGTGGCGCGTTGGTTAGGAGTTGACTTGGGATGCCAGTTCTGAGCGGCAGGGCCCCGGTTCGGATCCCACATGAGGGCCAGTGACGCTTCACTCTCTACAGCTAAGATGGTGAACAACAGCTTGACCTGGAGCTGGGCTGCCATGAGTCGCCGGCGATGGCGTAGGCTGCAGTGAAGCTGCAGTGGGCTGCCATAAGATACCGTGAGTGACTGGCAGCCGGCGTGAGCTGCCAAGAGCCGCACGCTGTCTAGTGGCCGGCGACCCACCTGCCTCACCCGGGAAGAGTGCAAAGATAATACCAACATGGGCCAGTGAAGTGACATCCTCCACAACTAGACTGAAGAACAAAAGGACAGCAACTTGTCTGTTCCCGTTCCCCGATTCCCTAACGCTGTTCCCCTCACCCAATTCCTCAATAAAATCTTTTATTTATTTTTTTTTCACCCCTTTGGTCGTATAAAACACACACACAACACGTCACACACACTGACTCTCACACACACGCCTATATTTCCTTTTCTTAGTCTCCTTTTTCTGTTTCTTATAGCACATGCCCTTCACTCCATCACCCTGGGGTCCGTTCTCCATTTGCAGCTGCTTTTCTGTCCACCCAGGGCCTGGAGGAACTCGTTAGAATGCTAATTGTGGTCAGTGCTCAGAACTTGGGTCCTTGTAATTCTGCATTCTCATTTAATTTTGTGGCATCCAGTAGCTAAGGAATGGCGCTGGTGTCCTGCCTGCCCCTCTGCCCTCAGATTTTGTGTCTTATGCAGCACAGACAGGGAGGAGGGCATCAGAATTGCCATAGTCCTGGGCCAGTGAACCCTCACTGAACATCGAGGTTAGGCTCTGCAACTGTGAGGGAAGCCACGCAGAGTGACACCAGTTTTACCATAGGCTCAGTGGTATGAACCAGTTAAGTTTCTAGGCATCTCGTCTACAGTATAAGGAAACCACATCGAGGACCAGCTGTAACATGAAGGCTGAGGAGGGAGGGAAGTCCACAGGGTCCAGCGTTCTCTGAGGTGGAGGGGGGGGGCAGCCATGCTAAAAATGACAAGTTAGAGATACGATTTAAGATTCTTAAAATTACACAGTGGTTCAGTGACTGCTGGTGGGGAGGAGCCTCTGGTTTGTCTGACAGCAGTTCTAATAAACTGACTTCACCTGAAGCGCAGCCGTTTCCAGGTTCCAGATTTGAGTCCCAGTTGTTTGACAACAGCACCACACAGGAGGGTCACAGTGAGCACCGAGGCACGCGTGACCTTTAGGTTTGGGTCTGAAACGTCCTGGAAGCTTTTATTATTTATTTATTTATTTATTCATTTATTTATTTATTTTTAAAGATTTTTTTTATTGGGGAATGCGAACAGTGCTGGGGAATTGGGGGAAGAGGAACAGACAAGTTGCTGTCCTTTTGTTCTTCAGTCTAGTTGTGGAGGACGTTGCTTCACTGGCTCAAGTTGGCACCATCATTGCGCTCTTCCCCGGGCGAGGCAGATCAGTCGCCGGCTTCTGGATGGCCGCTCACTGCGGCTGCTGGCCGCTCACGCTGGCTGCTGGCTACACACGGTAGCCCATGGCAACCCACTGCAGCAGGGGCTGCAGCCTACGCCATCGCCTGCGACTCATGGCAGCCCAGCTCCAGGTTGAGCTGTTGTTCAGCATCTTAGCTGTAGAGGGCAGTGTCACTGGCCCTCATGTGGGATCCGAACTGAGGCCCTCTGGCGTCCCAAGCCAGCTCTTAACCAACATGTCACTCGGCCGGCCTTGTCCTGGAAGCTTTTAGAAAAGAGCCTTCAACCTTAGGGATCCGGGGCAACCTGTGTACAGTCCCTGTTTGTTGGCTGGGGTGGGTGCCTCCAGCCAGTGCCTGCATCCTGGAGCAGGCCTCCGCCAAGCACTGTGCTTACTGCCTGCCCTTTTCAGGGGTTTGTTTTTTTTTTAATCCTGTGAAGTAGACATCATTATTATGTATATTCTTCAGATGAGGAAGAGAAGCTCCAACGAGAATAATGGCTGGTCTCCGAGTACTCAGAAAGTGGCAGAGCCTGGCCTTGGAGCCTCCCGCTCCTGAGGCCCCGCCCTTATGCCAGCGCGCGTGTGCGGGCGTGCACCCGGCAGGCTTGGTAGGCCCGCGCCCTCTCCCTGCTGCAGAACACCGGGATGAGCCCTTTGAACTGTTGACCTGCTCTTTGATTCCTTTTTTCTTCTGCCCTCCTCAGGCTGCTTCTGTTCTTGACGTCAGATATGCATCTGCCTCCTGAGAAACTCTGGTAGCTTCCAGTACTTGGTATGGACAACTGTGTTACCCAGGATATCAGGTATTACAAGACATCACCTAGCCATCTGCATCACATCTCTGTGGACAAGCAGCTATTACCAAAAAGGCATACACTTCAGTCCTGTGCTACATCTGCCTTAATTCTTCGCTCGTTCCTCCGTGTTGGCGCCACTTCCCAGAGAGCTCCGTTGCATCTCCACTCTGCCTAAGTGCTGGGGGAGCCTCCTGGCCTGCACGCCTCCCGTGACTCTGGGGACCGCCTCCCCGGTCGGAGCTCCTGAGCCCCATCAATGGCAGCTCTTCCCGTCAGCAGCTTCAGAACAGGTAGTCGACTCGGAAGGCACGACTCCGCTCCTGCATGGCCTGCAATTTCTACTTTGTGCATAATGTAATTTTCAGAGTAACTGTGACCTTGTTGGCCTTCTAGAAAGTTTCTCTTGTTCTTCTCTGAGGCATCCACCTAAATGATATCATGCATCTTTGGAAATCACAGTATATTGGCAGACTGCATTATAACCTCTATCGTGCCAAACATCCTGATTCAACTCACATTTCCCTGAACATAGGGTATAATTATGGTTTATAAGTGTAGTTGGCTTAATCCCTCCTTCTCCTTTCTCAGTTGGTAGGAAGCTCATTCGCAGCAGCTCTCCTTGGACACTGTAGCTTAAAAGGAACGTGGACCTCAACACTCTGCCTTCACCTCTCGGCATTGTGATCAGGATGGGTGCCGCCCTGTCTTCCCTGACCCCCCTCGCCCCCAGCTCCAAGAGATTTGGTCCATACCACTACTGTACTTGGTGCTTGTACATTTGGAATTGGTGCCTTCTCCTTTTGGCAACCATGTTATCAATTCTTTTTCTGTTTTAGTGTCTTACTTCTTTCAAGTTGATTGCTTGCCAAAGATGACATCACTGAGATTTGGAGATGGGAGAGCTTGCTGCAGATTCTGACAGAGTGCAGATTTTAAATGTCACATTAGCTCAACAAAGGGTATTAGAATAGCTGGTGATGGTTTTACACAACTGCACGTTGTTTGTTGCCCGTCCTCTCAGTATGCCTGGCCTTTTCTGTGTTATCACTCCATGTGTCCTTTTGTGTCCTTCATGTACTGATGCGACCACATAAACATCACCCTCTCTCTTTTCATGTAGTATAGGACAGAGAAGTGTTTAGTTTATTGGTCCTAGTGAGACCAAGATGAAAAGAAACAATCTACAAAGTGGTATATATTGCCTTTTGGTTGGACTGGCACGAGTGAAAACTTCTAATAAATGTCCTGAGGCTTCCAGAATCACTTTTATTCTCTTGCCCGGCTGGGGACCTGCGGAGAGGCTGAGGGGTTGACTGTCGAGCTGCATTTGAACTCCCTGCCCCTTCCCACGGTCAGTTCAGCCTGCACTAAATATACTGAAGGAACATTTTTGTTCTTGTTTTTTGCATCATTTAAATATTTTTACCGCTTTCAATACCAAAAAAGAAAGAATACAGATGCTTTAAGGCAGCATAAACAGAATTCTTAAGAATTTAAAATATGCAATTAAAATATGTATGTGTTCTGACTCCCAAGCACCTTGCCTTTTTTTTTTTTTTTTTAAGTCTGCTGATTCTCTCTAGGAAGAGAGTCAGCTAGAAAAGTAGATGGTTTGCAATTGTAGTTTTTCTTTTAGAAATCTGGAGAAGGGTCATTCAAAACGGGGGGAGTGAAATGGGACTTTCCCAACTTTTATCATCCTGTCCCTAAGCTGGGTGTCTGCAGTCCGGGGTCAGGGGACAGCATGTGAAGGACAGCAGTCACAGCTCGCCACTCCTGCCTGGATGGGGCAGAAGAAACACTAGAGCGTTGCAGGGTTGTTCTGTTTGTATCGTAAGCCTGCTGTGTAGTTGGGAAGTGGCAGGAAAGGACCGCGGAGGAGGTGGCATAAGTTTTGCACGTCTCATTAAGGGGACACGAAGGCGTGCACAGAAACTTGAGTTTCTCCTTGCTTCTCACAACCCCCTTCCCTCTTCCTGGAAGCAGTCAGCAGTTTGCTGCGGCAAGTTTCTCACTCTGCCAGTGGGTCTGTTCCTCTCTTCTCTCCCAGGCTATTTTCCTCAAGAATTGATCCCTTCTGGCAGTGCTTGAAAGCATGAGACTAGGTCTGATGTCGCATGATGGGCACGCCAGCAGTGCCAGACCTCAATCTGTATTGGGCACCAAGCCCTTAGGTGGTTCCTGGCACCGAGTGGCCTCCTGTCCCGAAGAGTCACTGTGCCGGTATTGTCGAGATGGCAGCAGCTGGGTTTGGGCTTTCTCTCCAAGGGAAGGGGTATGTCGTTTCCATTTGCCAGAAGGGAAAAAGAGAGTTGTCTTTGCCTGGCTGCCTTCGTTGTAGTTTCATGCGTAAGATAGCACTGTGTTTTAAACTGTTTCATTACACTGTCTTTGCAATGATGTTGTAAATGCAAGAAATCATGTAGCTTTAAAAGCTAAGTGGTTTGGTCTTATTTATGTGCAGCCCGTTTTTAACATATCAAGACTTCGGTGCGTCAGCAGGTCATGTTTGGACGCGTAAGGGTCCACATGGCAACTGCTTTGGATGCAATGTTCACTTAAGCTTTGTCTTCTTAAAAATTATCAATGTGAATGTTATAATTATATATATATTTTTGTGGAAAATTTCTCCTAAGTATAAGTTATTGTGCAAATTATAGTACCATTGAAACAAATGATAGTTTTAGTTTAGAAATCCTAAAAAATATAAATTGCATTGCATATGCATTAAAAGTTTGTTTTATTTAATTTTATGTAGATGTGTAAAGTGTTAGGTAAAATTTTTTTCACTTATCCATTTAAACACCTTGTTACTTGAATATTGTGTTGACTGGTCTGAAACAGTGGTCAGTTCTGTAATGTAGCTCTTTCAGCCGGAAGCAGCCCCGCCGGCGGCTGTGCTGACAACATCAGCGGGGGGCGGGACATGGCTGGGCCGTGTCAGCGGGAGCCAGGCGGTGGTGTACCGTGCCCACTGCGCTGTCTTGGTGTATTTGTGCCCACCGAGACACCAGTTCCTCAAAATGCTTTTTGATAGTTTTTTAACCTGTAAGACCCTTTGATGGTCACAAACCTCTAATCAAAAAATGAAAAAATAGTTGAGTTTCACAGCTTGACTATAGTGGACTAATTCAGCAGTTTTCTGTGTATATAAAATTTCCTCAAATATCACACACCACTGTAAGTGTGCTCATTGTCACTTTAATTTTCAACTATGCCCTATTTTTGTCTTTCTAAATATCAGATAATACTATTGGTATAATTGCATACCAAAAATAAGCCAAACAGTGCATTACACTAACTGGATCCCTGCTTATGTGAGCAAAGGAAAGATGGAGCCAACTTAGTCGAGAGTCTCCTTTTCTCTCTTGTCTAGCCTGTTTCTAAATCTAGTGACCCAGGACTCAAGCTTTTAATATCAAGTGAAACTTTGCCTCAAGTCGACTCACGGTAGTTAGCTAGCTAATCTGAGTCTAGTGATCTTGTACAATGCTCAAAAACAAACACTCTTTCTGCCACCCCTAGATCTCTGCAGCTTTTCCCAGTTATAGTGAAGCACAATTGCAGCACCGTTACAATTCAGAAGAAGGAAGGTCAGTCTAGTCTATGCATGTTGTATGATAACGAGTGTTTACAGTCCCCTCTCCCAGAGCTGAGACTCACACTGGGGGGTCGTGTTCCATTACGTAGACTTTTATCGGCTTTGCTGAGTGCTTTTTAGATTGCTTAAAACTTTTTCAAGATTTTAAAAGATGTATAAGGTTAAGTTTGCAAATATAATGGAAATGCTGTATATCTTTTGAAGTGGTAAAATCCACATTGGGATTTTAAAGAAAATATGTTGTAATAATGCTGTTGTAAGTAATATTTTAATGTCTCTTTTGCCTGTTTTCTATTTCAGCACATTCATTATGGTGAATGTTCATAGCATTATAATTGCTTAGCCATCGGACGATAACATTTGTTAGTGGAGATTGGGACATTTATTTGTGAAATTCTGCAGAATTCATTTTTCTATTTCCAATATTTGCTGAAATTAAATAAAACTTTTCAAGCCATTGATGTAATAAAATATGAAACAAAACCATTTTCTGCACCGCCACCCCCGCTCTCCATAAAGCAGTACCCCAGCCCAGCACAGAGTGCTGCCTCTTTTCCCTGCCTCTTGCATTGGACCTTGGGGTTCCTGAATGTATAAGTTCCCTGGAACTGCACCCTGTGGGAACAGTCAGGGATTCCTTTTGCTTTTAGCCTTTAGCTCTACCTGAACTATATTCTCCTTTATATACGATCATCTTACAGTTGGGATCAAATTGAGTCACATGAGTTCGGAAGGTTTGTGATAATTTAGGGCTTGTGCGGTTTCAGTGAGAGACCTGTTTTCCCATGAGTGGTATTTCTCTTTTCAGCATGACCAGGCGCTGATACCTGGCTGCTGGCCTCTGCACAGCCCCTGGACTGGCAGTGAGGAGGCAGGACCCCCACCCTTGTCGCCCCTGGTCAGCCACGAGTAGACCCTGCACTAATCTCAGCACCTCCCTGAGTCCCATGAAGAACACTTAGCAGCCACTGGCCAGCTCCGTGTCTGCCCTTGTTTAGCTGGAATGTGGGTTTGGTTAGAAAACTACTAGGAAAACCTGACTTCCCAGCCCAGCCTTGCCACAGACAGCATTTAAAAGGCACACCTGGGGCCCCTTTGCGTGCATGACTTTGCGTGTGTAGAGAGAGGGTATTTACATGACACTTTTCAGAGGTCTTCGCCTGGAGGGGACAACAGGATGGCTGCCCTGGTTACAGCACTGAGCGTCCTGGGAGAGGATGCCCAGTGCTGCCGGAGGGCCTGCGAGGAAGAAAAGGGACCCGAGGCACCTGGGAGAGGGGTCAGCGGCTCAGAGACCTCCGTGTGATCTGTGGAGGTGACTCCTGGTGTAGAACAGGAGGGAACCCCGGCTTTCCTGCCGGAAGGTGGAGGAAGAAACGAAACCGAAAGGGAGCGCAGGCGGGGCTGGGAGGTGAGGAGGGACCAGACTCAGGGCGGCCCCCACAGACCTGGAGGAGGAGGCCCACTAAGGGCAGGAAGTGGCGCAAACGGTCACGAGGTGGGAAGGGGCAGGGGACAGGCCGCAGGTCCCCACATCGGGCACATGGAGCGCACAGGTCCAGGTCACCTCTTGTGTCGCATCTCACATAACCGCGGCCCTTGCGACAGCCCCAGCTTCAGGCTGGTGTAACCGACAGCATTTCCTTTGTGAGTGAGAGCTCAGCCTGGCCGGAGGGGGCAGTTCAGACTCCGGGGGCAGGTGAGGAATGGGGTGGGGTGGGTCCCCAGTGCATCAGACACCCTGTTCGTTCAGAGGCAGTTCTGCAAGGCTCTGCCTCTGAGTCCGCAGGGGTGACCAACTGAAAATGTGCCCGATCTCAGTGTGTCCCTGTCTCACTGTTCCCGGTCCCCTGCTCTTATTCCTCAGGATCACTCTCAGAATCAAGCCCTACCCACGAGCCCTCACCACAGGCTCTGCTTTCTGGTAGAATCTACGCCCAGACAACAAACACATCAAAGTGAGAAGAACTTCATCCCCCACGAGGCCTGTCATCGCCCTGGTAACCTCTGTTGAGGGGAGAGGTCTCGAAAGCACTTACCAACCGTATGCAGGAAAGGGAGTGACAACACCCATGCTTAGGAACCCAGTTTTCACGGCTTCCTCTGTCTTGACTCCCGGTGGATGCGTGTACTGAGACAAGGAGCCGGCTTGCGGCGCCCGCTCTCTAGTCTCCAGCCCCAGTACCTGTGAGCCGCTGGTTCTGGGAAGTACGAGACGCATGCAACTTCCAAGTGGTCCGAGTCCAGTCTTTCTCAGCAGACCTACGACCGTGCTTTTGTCTTGTACAGCTGCTTCCTGCTTGGGGCATCAACTAGGGCCTGGACAAGCTCCTGGGTGCCCCTGACTCTGGTCCTGGACTGGATGGAACCAGCCCCCAAGTACGCTTTCCCACTGACCCCAAAGCAGGGGCTCAGTGGCAGGCCTTGAAGCAACCACCCCCTCCTTGGACCATCTCACCACCGCACTGGGGCTGCTGTTGGCACCTGTGCTTGACAGCTCTCACCTGTCAGGGCCCCCGCCCCCTGAGCTCACCCAAGCTCCTCTCCTGTGTCTTCACGACAGGTCCAAGATTAAAATCTCTTCCCCCACCTTTTTCTGAGTTGCCTGCCTTGCTATGTATCTGGTCACCAAACTAGAAACAGCGACGCCACCTACCTCAGAAATTCTCAAGTCTCCCTCCATCACTGCTGCCAGTGACTGTTCAAGCCCTTCCGGTTCACCTGAGTTGAACTGTTGTCTCCTAACTCATCCCCAACATTCCTTTTTTTTTTACTCCCTATCCTCCCAACCATAATCAGGGCCCTTTCCTGCTTAAAAAGCTCCTTTTTTAAAGTAAACACACAGCCCTTCATTCTGTCTTAAGCCATATAGCATTCCTACTTCAGGGACACTTTCATGTGCTTTTCTCTGCTGCGATGCCTTCCCCTGTCTGCTTGGCGCTGTCCCCAAGGCTTGGACGTGCTGCTATCTCTGAAGTCCTGGTCAGTAGCTCCCCACCCCTGCTTCAGCAGAGGGAGTAATTCTCAGGGTTTCTACCACTTGTTTCTCTGCACTTGCTTCTTCGTACCATACTGTGAAGACATGATTTTTAAGTTTTTATTTTATTTTCTTAAATAGGTAACCAGTGTACTTGGAATGAAAGGCATGCAGTGAAATGTAAGTTTCCCTCCCTGTCCTCTACCATCCAGTCCCCTCCACAGGCAGTCATTGTCACCAGTGCCTTGCACATCCTTCGAGAGAGCACGTGTGCAAATGTGCACGCTCACATGCGCATCCGCACACAATTGTTTTTTCATCCAGGTGCCATGCTCTGCTCTTGACACACCAACAGTCTCGGCATCAGCACACACGCACTTACAAAGTGGCTTCACTCCCCTGTCGGCTTCACGATGTCCCATTCGTGCCTGCTAACCGAGACTAAGGGTTTATGTGAACCGTCGTTGATTGACAGTCACTGAAGTATCAGCAGACGGGAAACAACCTGTGTCATTTTGCCTCCATGCACGTGTGTTGCAGAATAAATATCTAGGATTGGACTTTCTGGGTCAAAAACCATTTGTGCAGTGGTACATGCTGCTGTCTTCCAGGGAGGTTGTGCCACTTTTTCCTCCCGTCCGCCATGAACGCAGCCATTTGGTGCCCTAACACCCTTCCCAACACTGTGGTAATTCAACATTTTGATCTGAGGTGTTCGATACGCTTTCAGTCCACTAGATGAAATCCTTGAGGTCAAGACTGTCATATTCATCTTGGTCCCCAGAACTGGCAATCGGAGGCACGTAAATGCTTGATAAAGGAATGGGGGGATTGGGTGCGTTGAGGAGGAAAAATAAATGCCCCGTGTACCCTGTGCTTAAGGGAGAAAGGTCCCATTATGGCCTGTGTGCAACACCCCAGGTGTGGGACCACAGCTGCCAATTCCAGGGCATCCAGAGACAGATGAGTCGAAATGTGGGGTGTCCCGGGCTCTTGTTCCCTGAGCTATCTGTTTAGTTATTCATAGCCAAAGCACAGTGAAAAAGTGAGTCTGAGTTAAAGACCTGGTGATGTCCATTTGAAGTGCGGTTGAAGAGCATTCCGTGGGTTTTGGTTTTCAGGTCCTGCACCTCCCAGGCATCACTGTCTCCTCCCCCTTGACGGAGAGTTGGCTGAGTAACATGAGCACATGTCCCATGTTCCAGCCTGGACAGGCTGCACACGCACCTTCCTGCTGAGACCCAGGCCAGCAGTGCTTTTCAGAACTGAGGAGTGGGAAGGGGTCACCCTGTGTGGGGCACCTTTGGGGACGGCGTCCCAGAGGAGGCGACAATGGACAGAGTGACCACTAGCCCACAGTGTTCCAGCAGACCCCGTGGTTTATGTGGGACAAGCCTCCCTGCCCTTGCAGTCTTGTCAGGGCTGTTTCCTTACCACCCAGAAGATGTTAGAATGTTATATGGTTCTTTGGTGCTCTTTGCACCAACCTGCTTTCCTTCCCATGGCTTATACCTAGTGAATGTTCCTTGCTGCTCAAAACTCAGAGAAGCCACATTCCCCTGCAGATGGGATGGGAGGAGGACTCGGGCACAGCCCATCCGGCACCCAGGCCCCTTTGTCTGGGCTGACCCTGTTTGTTGAGAATCAGATGCCAGGAGGTAGGCCGAACAGCTGCATGTGACTCCAGCTCTGGTTTGCGTGAGGAACCTAAGCTGTTGCCAGCATTCGGCTGGAGGACAAGCTGTGCCAGAGGGACCTCCGTGTCCCCCTGCAGACACTCTGTGACAAAGTTATGGCGTGCATAACGGCTCGTGGCACTTGATTGAAAAATAAGTTGAGGGCCGGCTGAGTGGCGCGCTGGTTAAGAGTTGACTTGGGACGCCAGAGGGCCCCGGTTCGGATCCCGCATATGAGGGCCAGTGACACTGCCCTCTACAGCTGAGATGCTGAACAACAGCTCAACCTGGAGCTGGGCTGCCGTGAGTTGCCGGCGACGGCGTAG